AGCAGCAGCAGCAGAAGGAGACAGTTTGCTGGGCCCCGCAGCAGGCCATCTCTCTATGGGGCCTTTAGAGACAGTCGTTGGCGATGCAGCAGCAGCAGAAGAAGGAGGAGGAGACGAAGCAGCAGGAGACGTGCTGCGTGTATGGAGACAGGTCCGTGCTGCTCTGTCTTCGCGGCTGCTGCAGCAGCTAGCAGCAGCAGAAACTGCTGCTGCAGCAGATAAACCCCCAGCAGCAACTCCAGCAGCAACAGCAGCAGCAAACAGCACCACAGAAAACCTTTCTCCCCTCCTCGCGCTTAGAATGGTAAGCCATCGTTCCTGCTGCTGCTGCAGCACGAGTCCCTTCATTGCAGCAGCAGCAGCAACAGCAGCACCAGCACCAGCAGCAGCAGCAACAGCAGCAGCATCAACAGCAGCAGCAGTAACAGCAGCAGCATCAACAGCAGCAGCAGCAACAGCAGCAGCGTCAACAGCAGCAGCAGCAACAGCAGCATGAGCTGAGCAGCAGCACATGTTGGTGTGTTTGTGTTTGTTTGTGTATGTATATTGTATATGTGCTGCTGCAGCACCAGCTGTCTGCTGAGGTGATCCGTATGGAGGAGCTGGGGGAGCTGCTGTCTTGGGTTGCTCGTGCGTCTCTGTCTTTGTCTTCTCCTCTGCGAGCAGCAGCAGCAGCAGCAGCAGTATCTCTTGCTGCTGAGGNGCGTCTCTGTCTTTGTCTTCTCCTCTGCGAGCAGCAGCAGCAGCAGCAGCAGTATCTCTTGCTGCTGAGGGGCTGCCTGTTTACTCTCTTATCTTTGACTGTCTCGATGCCCTTCTTGCTGCTGCGCTGCGCTCGCTGCAGCGTACAGACACCGCAGCACAGCCTGCTGAACAACCAGCAGCAGCAGCAGCACCTGCTGCTGCTGCTGCTGCTGCACCAGCAGCAGCAGCAGGTGAAGCGGGAACAGAAGCAGCAACAGAAGCAGCAGCAGAAGCAGCAGCAGACACTGCTGCTGCTCAAGACGGCACGCAGCAGGCTGCAGCAGATGGAGATTCCACCCAGACAACAGCTGCAGCTAATGCTGCAGCTACTGCTGCTCCTGCAGCAGCAGCACCAGCAGCAACTGCTGCTGCTGCTGCTGCTGCTGCGGCCCAGGAGCTGCCCACCTATCCTGATCGTCCAGTAAGACACGGAATGGCAGCAGCAGCAGCAGCAGCAGAATTCAGCAGCAGCAGCACCAGCAGCAGCAGCAGCAGCAGCAGCACACGAATGAAGTCAGGGGTAGCTGAAGGAGACATCTGTATGCTGCAGCACTATGGGTATCTCCATTCGTTGTCTTTGACTTTGCTGCTGCTGCTGCTGCTGTTGCTGCTGCTGCTGCTGCTGCTGGTTGCAGGCATATTCGCGGGCAGCTCGGTCCCTCTTCGCTCTGCACGGCAGTCGTTTGCTGCGTTTGCTGCAGTTCGTAGAGCGGCTGCTGCAGCTGCATCTATCTGCTGCTGCTGCGGTGTATAGGCAGCTCGAGCGTGTCTTGGCGCTGCCGTGTCGCCGTCTGTTGGAGGTTTGTGTTGAGTTGCTGGAGGAGGAGCGGCTTGCTGCTGTTGCTGCTGGTGCTGCTGCTGCCGACGCACCAGCAGCAGCAACAGCAGCACCAGCAACAGCAGCAGCAGCAGCAGCAGCAGCAGCAGATGCACCGCTGCAGCAGCAAATTGCCAAAGGCTTGCTGCTTGCTGCTCTGAGGCTAACCACACAGATCGCTCGCGGCTACCAGGCGCTGGCGGACTCTGCGGTGCAGCAGCGTGAAGCCAGCAGCAGCAGCAGCAGCAGCAGCAGCAGCAGCGGTGCGGGTAGCAGCGGCGCTGCGAATGGGTTGGGTGCGGCGGACAGCAGCAGCAGCAGCAGCAGCAGCAACAGCAGCAGCAGCAGCAGCAAGATGAAGAAGAGCCTGGGTTTCCCTCGTTATGTTACTATTTTGCGGCGTTTGTTTGCTGCTGTCTCCTCTCTAGCGAACAGAGGAGACACACCAGTGGACCTCGCATTGAGTTGTGTTGCTGCTGCTTGCTGCTGCTGCAGCGAGCCCTTTCTATGCATGCTGCTGTCTTACAACCTGCCGCAGCATTCTGTCTCTGCTTTGTTTGCCACCCTCAAAGGAAACGAAACAGAAGCTGCTGCTGCTCTTGTTGCTTCTCCTGCTGCTGTCTGCTGCTTCGGCCCCCTCGCCGCCCGCTGCGCATCAGAGCTCACATCCGCGGCGCAGGTGCTGCTGCTGCTACTGCTGCTGCTGTTGCTGCTGCTGCTTCTATCTTGCTGCTGCTGCTGTTTGCTGGGGCTGGCGCCGCTACTGCTGCCGCTGCTGCTGCTGCTGCTGCTGTACTTCACCGTGCTCTTTCCCTGCTGCGGCTGAGCTGCTTTCTGCTGCTGTTGCTGGTGCTGCTGCTGTTGCTGCTGCTGCCAGCGTTGCTGTTGCTGCTTGTCTTTCCCCTTTGCTTTCGAGTCGTCTCTTTGCTGCTGCATCTTTCTTTCTGCTGCTGCTGTTGCTGCTGCTGCCTGCTCGTTCGTTGTTATGCGGTGCACGAGCAGCAGACCAGCTCTTCATAGAAAAAAAAGAGAGGCGCCTTTCTGCTGCTGCTGCTGCTGCTGCTGCTGCTGCTGCTGCTGCTGTGCTGCAGAGACAGTTCCCCCCCGAAGGCTTGGTTTGGCTGGCGGTGGCGAGGCAGCTGCTGCAGCTGGCTATTCACCTCACAGCAGCAGATCCGTACCCCTTGCATGCGCTCTTCGGGCTGCTGCTGCAGCAGAAATTCCCTATACCATGGAAGGTTAAGCAGCAGCAGGAGAGGAGACACTGTGTGAGGTTGACGAGGATCCTCGTAAGCTGCTGCTGCTGGAGCTG